TAGGCTTATCATCGTTTGAAACTAGATGATTTTAGGTCAGTTACATATAATCCACTTATCTCTTTCCAAAACCCTGCTAATTACCTTTCTGAACTGTAATAAAACTCATATAATTACACTTTTGAAGTGTGATAATATATACATGATACCCAGACCTGTTGTTACACCATGGATATCGGAAGGATGACAGCTGTAGACATTGTGCCGCTCGTATAATGCAATTTTTTTAGAAACCACTAGTGCTAGAATTTGCTGTTTCTGACTCCTTTATATTCACAGCTACGTTTAAACTGTATAGACCAAAAAAAAAAACAGTTTCCATTCTCCTGATTATAGTGAGTTACTGACTTCTCTCAATGCTCCCTGTGCACACATCCTTCTATAGTTCCTTTGCTGAATTTAGCAACAAAATATCCAGTGGTGGACAAAAAAGGTTAACAAAATGTGGAAAAGTTATGACAGTTTGACATTTTAAAGCTTGGTGCTGCCCCTTTTACCCTGCCACCATAGGTGCCATTGTAGTAAATAAGTTGGTGTAGGTTTGGAAGCATAAGTCTTTCCTTGTGGTTATTATCTAAGACCTTTTTTTGGGGGGTGGGTTATTATAGTTGCAGGTATAGTTCAATTTAAGGGGGCTGCTCCTTCAGTGTGGTAGGGAAATATTTACTACAAGTAGAAATTAGTCAAAAGCAGGAAGTATGAGAGCCAGATCATAATATTCAAAAAGGACTTCCCCTCTATGTCCTATAGTATGTGGTTATAGTAAATATAACCCTTATGACATCAGTGGATTAATGCATTATATGGCTGCGGGTGTGGCATTGATGAGTAGGACCAGAAATTTTAAACACAAAAAAAGAGAGCTGGTAGACAGCCAAAACCCTTAAATATATGCTGCTGTTGCCATAAATACAACATTGTTATCCAATCTGACCTGCATACAGTGCAGCATGCAATTTTTTACAGACCATACATCTATATTAGACACAATCTTATCAGCTACCTAGGCAAGAACTGTAGACAAGATGAAAGACTATAAAAACCCAAGATCTGAAGTTCTAAATCAAAGAAAGATCTCTTTGATTAAGAAAGCATTTCTGTTATCATTTTCTTCTCAATCCAGTATTAGAAACCTGAATATATTTCCATGTTCCACTGCATATCAACTAAATCAGTTAACTTTGCACCCTACTGCTTTCTTTGTGAAAGGCAGCGTGTTCTTGCTCTGACCTACATTTTTATAATTGTATAATTACCAAACTTCTGTTTTCTGTACTGCAATTAGTAGCAATGTGAAGCAGTTTTTCTGTTATATATAAAACACTCAAAGCAGTTATCATATTTAGGTGAACAAGTTTCAGTCTGTTGACTGGTTTTCTAAACATGAAAAGACCTCTTCTATCAAAATGTCTGAAATAAAATGGTTTTTGTAGCACTACAGCAACCAAGCTGAATCAAACCTGAATAGTTAGACGACAACTGGAGAACAAAGGGCAAATCTATATGGTTGTTAAAGGGCAATACTGACAATTATTATTTCACACATTCGGCCTCATAAGGCCCTTCACTCTTTTCTGGTTGAAGAAAATGTGTTGGTACTGTATTAGGGTAAATGTAAAACCTAAATGAAGGACATTTAGTTTGCTAAAACCCTGTGTATTAATTGTGATTTTAAAAAATACAGTTTTTACCTTTTTTTCATCCTTTGTTGTATATCAATACTACTGGTATTTTGCAGCATATCAATAATACTGATACTACTACCAGGGATGAGCGAATGTGTCTGGGTTCGGTTTGCAGGGCATTCTTCAAACTTATCAGTCTAAAGATTTCAAACTTAAATCTGAACAGCAGTGAAGTCTAAAGGGTGAGGGGAGAATCTTGAAAACCATTCCTGGCCAATGTTAAAGGAGAACTATGAGGTGAGTGATTTTCACTCACCTCATAGTTCTAGCCGACCTGTGACAATGAGACTGTCACAGGTCGGCTCAGTAGATCGGGAGGTGAGCGAACACATACCGGGTTCGCTCACCTCATGCAAGGGATTGTCAAAAAATGCATGGGGGAGCTGGGCACTGCCACTAGGGACATGCACCAATGCAAACATTTTTAAAATACTGTACAGCAGGAAGAGGGTCTACCTTTTATTGTGTCTTTGAGGATCACATAAGAGAAAGCAATCCTTTAAATTACATGCTTGGGAGATGACTTTAAGCTGTATATGATTAATGGAACTGTACAATTCTCACAGACAGTGACATCCCATAGTTTGCACAAGTAATTGACTTTTTACTGTAACAATAATATTAGGCTTAAATTAGCACCAGCACCCCAACCTGATTCATCAGAACTTGAAAAATTAAAACCTGTTTCTTGGAGAACATTTCAGAGGCATGGGTTAAAACTGCTGCCTTCAGGTAGAATTGGACACCGAGAAACAAAAAGCTGTTAGTTAGATATAACTCATCCCACTCCCATCATACTTCAGTTTTGTAAAAAAAAAAAATCACTATTAGAAATAGTTTATATTCAGCCTTTTTCTAAGCACCCAGATCACTTTATTTGCCTCTACCCGGAAACCTCACCTTCGCCTCACATACGGATCCTGGGAGTTCTCTGGAAGACAGGATTCAACCTGTCTTCCGGAGAGAGGATCCATTACCTTTCACTGCCTCCTTAAACCGCAAGTACCAGTAGCAAGCAATGTAACTACTAGAGCCTTGTCTTGTTGCTAGGATAATCCTAAATACAGCAGATGTATGTGTGAACCTAATGCTTATACTATGTGTAATATGGAAGCTGTGTCTGAGGAGAGGTCGCAGGTTAACGCCTTACATTGAATATGTACTACAACTCCCTGCCAATCTATGCGACTGTCAGTTTACCATTAGAAGGAGCTTTCATAGTTGTGTTGGAGATTGTATGGGTCATGGAAATAATAGACAGCAGATCTGGGGAAATATAACATCATACGTGTAAGACAACTTCAAACCCCATCACACATACTACTCCATATGAGACTTAAACAACGTTCTGACATAATAGGTATTCGTGGGGCCCTTGTAGTTTGGCCTGCGATCTAGGTCATTCATAACTTATTTTGTAGTTATTCCTCCTACCCGTTGATTTTTCCTCCTGTTACTAAGGGTAACCGCATAGTTGTGCTTCTTTGAGTATGACGTGAATACCTAGGGTGAAGCCAGTTGATAAATATTTCTTGATAAGGGTGCATGATGTAAAGCAGTTCCTCTATTCACCTCCCCCCAAAAATTGTCGTACGTTGGTGGAACTGCAGACTGATCATCGTTCCTAACTCCGCAGTTAAGATCCATAAGTATCCATTGCATAAGCGTTACACCCATTACACTTTATCAGCAGTCACTTTCCTTAGCACAGCCAATATGGCTGCTAGGAACCATGCCTTTTTATAACGCGGGGCTTTCACCTAATGAAGCCCTTATTATTCGACATTCTAAGCCACTTGACATAAATTCAGAGGCCAGGAAGTGCATAATTGGTTGTTATTTGCTTTAGCACCAAATGGCCACATTAGTTTGCCAAACTAATTGCTACCTAAAATAATAAAGTTATAAAGCTCACAATAATGGAAACAGTCACTGATATAATTCCCAGCTATATATGCAGCAGTGCTCACGTAATAATTGATGCATACCTCTGTTGTGTCTATCGCAGGTGGTGATCTGGTTTTATGAGACTACTGACAAAAGGTCAGCTGTGTGTTTAAAAATACCGTTGCCATTTATAGCAACCTCAATTTTCAGTTATCATCAGATTATCTAATTACATTTTTATCTCTACATGAATGCTATTAAAATTCCTTTGACAGATTCCAAGTTATGAAAAATAATGTATTTTATGTTTAGTGGATAATTACGTAAAGACTGCCTAATTCCAAAAATGTATTTCCCTGGTCAAGCTAAGCAGTGATGTAGATGGTTGGATGACAATAATTTATAATTTCTGCTAATGTAGATACTACTCACCTATGTGCACATATAACCAGCTATAGAAGATCTAATCTAGCTGAACAGAATGATCTAATATTGTGGCTCACAAATGCAAGGTAATAAAACTGATAATGGAAAGTTTATAGGTTACCACAGGCATAAGATGATGACCAGATTTTTACAAATCAGTTATGCACCCAAAGACATTTGTATGTATACAATGCAAACACAGGTTGCAAACAATGGCTGACAATTTCACTTTGTTTCTGTGAAGTAGCAGAACATTCAAGTAAAACTAAAACATGTGCATTCAAGTGCAAGCAGAGGAATTCAGCTATAAGCCAACAATTTCACAGATGTTACTACAATTTTTCATAAGAGAATACATGACAGCCACAACTCCTGAACAACCATCATGACTGCTATCACTGCATTATTTCACATATTCCCTGTTACACTATACGCAAGCTGTAGGCAGTTACTGCCACTGTCCAGTCAGAAGGCTTAGGGTGCAGAGGTGACACCATTCTATTCCGAAGCTGTAAGTGGCGTCACTTACCTGGGTGTGCTGTGTAGCATAACTGTGTAAATCTCAATAATGGATGGGTAGAAAAACGAATTCTTTGGCAGGTAAAGTTATGTGTTATGTATATGTATTGCATCTGTATATTTAGCTGGTTTGTACAGTGCTGCTTTAATTAAGCAGCTAGTATTGCCCTACCATGAGCCCATGAGCCATTCAACTCTGATCGTTTCTTAGCTAGGAAAAAACCATTGCAGAAGATGATGTGCATTCACTACACCCAGGACATTGTCAATTTTTAGTTGTGGCATAATTATGCCTGGACTACAAGAAGAAGTCAATGTGAAGGAATATTCAGTGATACACCCAATTGTGATCTGTTCTTGTGACATAAGAAGGCCAGTGCTGAATTCTTGTCATTGAAATACAATCAATGTTTTGAATTTTATGTGACAGCTCATGTTAACATTATGAAATCACTTTTTGTTTCAAGTGTTTTAATTACTCACTTTGTCATATTAATATTTTCTTCCAGGACTCTCTTCTCAGCTAGTTTCTGAGACAATTGATCCTGCAGTCCTTTAAGTTTGGTTGTCACCTCTTTGAGTTCCTCTCTTTTTATTTTCAGATTCTGCATGTGAATTTTCAGATCTGCCTCGGCAGCTTCCAGTTTTTGACGCTTTGGAGCCACAATCTATGGGGAAATAAATGTAAAGCTTGCATGATTGGTACCAATATTATATTTGCAATTGTAATTCATTAATTATGATTGTTGTTACCAATAACTTTTTATTTTTCTCACTGCTAAAGATACATTCCAGTGAAAGCATACAGCCTCCTGCTTATTACTTTGTGTTTTTTTCACTAGATGTTGTAGTTGACCAGTCCATCCCACTACCTTTGATCAGTAATTCAGTCACATTGTGAAAAAGACCCAGATTCCTAGTGCCTGTCCTCATCTTGTAGGTAAACAGATACTCAATGATTGCCTATTGCTGCAGGTGCAGTCTATGCAGCATGGCCAACGTCGACTTCTAGCACATGGGTGCATTAAATACCAGGGGGCAGGCAGCTTGTGTTGCCACTCAATTTTGGCACACTCACCGGAAATGACCACCCGATGGGGCCAAACACTCTTCTGGCCTGCCAAAGTACATAAGGGGAGCCAGGGTACCTAACTAGGAACCGATGCACTACCAGCTTAAAGATGTATTCCAGGCAAGGCACGTATTTGAAATTTCCCTGCCGAAGGGTGGACAGATGGTGCCATTGTTACACATGACCTTTCCCGGCACAAGATGATGTGGGGTCAGCCACCGCTCAGCCTGCCCCTTAAGTCCTGACAGAACCTGTGGTTCAAATGAGTTAGCAGATAAGGCCATTAGGGGGAGGGGTAGAAGTAACTGTGCTGTCAACATCACCAAGTTGTAGAATGCTGGATGACACCAGTTGCTCCAGCAATGTGATCCATCCTGAATCCTTCCCAGCCACCAGCAAATGTACCCAGTGTAACATAAAAGAGTTGTAACTTTCCTCTCCATGCTTTTTGGCCCATGAGTCTGTGGTCAGGTTGACCCTGCTGCTGACTGCGTGGTCCAGTAACACGGACTGTGGACGGCAGGGATGGCCTTATGGAACAAACAAATGGCAGCTGGAAGGCCAAAATCCCAAAGAAGGGGCCAACTCCACCAGCTGGAAACACTCTGTAAGCTGTTCTTATCTATTCAAACGGCACACACAAAAACTAATAAAAGGCTGATAGGAACCCTGATGTTTATAGGGAGGGGGCTGGCACATTAGAAAGAAATCCCATTATCATTGGTCCTTCTATGCCACCTTACCACAATCCTAATTCCACAGACCTCTGCAGTGCTGCTGCAGTGGCAGAAGAAAATAGTTTCCTCAAACTCAACTAGTGTCTGTATGCTAGCTTTGCCAAACACCCCCTGTGAGTTTGTGGCCTGAGCTGCACTACAGTGTTAAGGAATCAGCTGCCATTATTTTTCCAAGAAGGGCATACACCAACTGCCACTACTTTGCAAGTAAAGCATGGAGCTGCCACAGCTCTCTTCACATTCCTATAGTCTCTGGGGATTTCCGTGGCAGCTGTAGCCTCAAATATCCCTCCCACTTGTTCTGTATCACCTACATCTACCTTATCCCATGGCAGCCGTATCCTCGGATATCCCCCCTCCTTCCCTTCTGTTGTGTCCCCTCAATTTATCTACCTTATCCAGCACTCCGACCTAGACAGGGAGCCGCTGTTAGAAAAAAACACTCCTGTGTGGGAGGCCACGTGGGGTGTGCCTCCGAAGGACACCTCACAGGGTACCCTTTTTAGTTGCCAGTAAAGTTTTTGAAGCTAAAATATTTTCTTAACAGTGTTGGACAGTGTTGGACTGCATTCATGGCAGCAAGGGACATTTCCGGGGATGTCCATCTACAGGGACAGAGCCCTCAAGGGACTGTCCCTGGGAAACCGGGACTAATGGTAGCCTTAGCCTAAATGGATATGTCTTTTGTTAGGAATTGCAAAACATTTGAGAACTCCTTATCTTAAGTAACCAAGTCAGGTTAAAACACATTGACTGAAATGATCAGAGTACAATGTAAATAAACAATTTTATGGTGGAAAAAAAAGACCTTCATCCTTATGTTTGAGGATTTCAGTGGTTTATGTCAAACTCATTACTTCCATACCAATTCTTACCTCACAACCTGGATTTTTCTTCTGTTTAAAAAAACGAGTCAGTGATATTCTATATGCAATTTTACCTGTAACCACAGTAATATAATCACAGACCTCACCAAAGGTGATGAGGACTGCTTGGCAAAACAATTCACTGTCCCTTTTAAAATATTTAGCACCTTTCTGCAAATAGAAGACCCTGTGCTTTACCTTAAGGCACATTACATGCATAAAACAGAAGCTGACCAGAATGGATTTCTCTTGATATGGTCAAATGTCTAATCATTTCTGACAAGGTGATGAGACAAATGGCCTTTAACAGAAAAAAATTGGATAGTGCAAAGGTCTACCAGCTGAATTATGTTTTAAAAATGAAATGCTCATATGTCATTTAAAATGATTTTTTTTCTGGTTGAGTAAGCATTTCTGTACAAATAAGTGTATTTTTAACATTACTAGAAGCTTAAAACACTTCCAAAATGCAACATGTTTTGAACTGTATTACTTTTTCAAATTAGTTGAAATACAACAGCATATGCATTAAGACGATAGCATGTTTCTGCTTTTCTGTGTTTAGATCATCTAAGACTTTTGCACCAATAATCGCTCTCTTACTACATTCTCTTTGATGGACTGCTCAGTGCTCATCTTTAAAAAAAAATAATTATACCAAAATTGGTAGAAAGGTCACATAGGTCATGGCCTAGGTAGGCACACATTTAGGTAGGAGGCAGTCTTACCCCTTGTGTAAACATTATAACCTTTTCTTCATGTCTAAAGCTGGCCATACACCTATAGATTTTCTATGGTCAGATGGAAAAAGTGTAACAAATTCCTCCATCCAGGCTTCAGTATCTTGCTAGTCGGCTGTCAAAATACCTAAATAATCTGATTGGATGCACGCATTCTTCAGGTGTTTTGTCAGCCAGCGGGGCCGCCTAGCAAGATACTGAAGCTTGGCCCAGTGGGAGATTCCTCCATCCACACAGTTTAGCGTAGATGGAGGAATCTGTCGCAGTTTTTCCATGTTACCATAGACAATCTGCATAAAATCTATAGGTGTATGGCCACCTTAAATAATCATTCTAATTATTTGTACTATGTACCTACATTAATTATAAAAATAATGTGGGCAGTAATAATTGTAAGGTGTATGGGCACCATAAGCCCTTTTCTAAAGCAAAGGTGCTTCAGAAACATTTTATCCTGCCTAATTACACTGTGTACCATTACATTGACAGGCTTCATTTAACACAGTATTTCTTTGTGCAGCATTTATTGTTTACATTAAATCTTTATCATGCGGAAGGCTATCTTTTCTCTAAAACATATAGGAACCATAGCTAACAAAGTCAGCCTTAATCCCTACATAACAGGATGGATGACAGCAGCCTGTAACCATTATGTTTTGAACAGGGACCAATGCTCCCATAAAAACTAATATCATGATGTTAAATGTGTTAGGTTTAATTTTGTGATGTTCAGTCTCACAGTAATGTGCGTCATCACAGCGGGTTACAATTTAGTACATTTTCTACATACGATTGCCTCTATTGAAAATGATCAGAACCATACTTGTATAAAAAAAAGATAGTGTGCTCTGTTACAGGCAGTCCGTCTGCTGCAGACCTCCTGCCTAAATGATGACTTTGCAAGAATAACCAAGTATTTGTTTGATACAAATACATTTAAATAAATCATCTCACAACAGTTATTTTGATACCCATACCATGAAGGGCAATGAAACAAACAGATCATTAAGAGAGATAGATACATAAAATGTTAATTGTGCAGTGCTATTTAACACTATTGTTTCTGGTAAAGAAATACCTTGAAAAAAAGTTGTAGTTTTTTTTATTATGTATGGTATACATAATAATCAGGCTAAAAGTAAAATAATATTGTTTTCAACATTTTCATACAAGGGTCTCTATTAAGAGGTTATTTGAAGAGCACGTGCAGCTTTGTAATTAGAAAGACCAGCACCGTCTGCTCATTTGTCTAGAAAAATAAGAAATACATCAAATCAGAATGAGCCAGCAGACAGGGAAGGGTGTGTACCACCTCTCATTGTTTCAGCTGTAAATAGAACTGAACATTGGCTGATTAAATTATTTAGACTCATTAGGCTATTCACAGCATATTAGTAAACCCACTTGGTAAAAAAAAATTGCTCATTGTAGCTATGCATAATTTCACATTTGCCTGATAAAAAAGAACTTAAAATTACAAGTTGCATTTTCTGGCGTTACCATAAAAATAATTAAAAACATATACAAACAAACTTTAATTGTCTTTAAATTGACCTACAGTATGCGCTGCTCATAATGTGAGAATGTGATCGTAAGCTGAAAAACATTTTGCTGATCAGCTTTTTACCTGATGTACAACTGCCATTCAATGGGTAGCTTATGGATAGCTCTACATTACCTTTCATATTATGTTTGATATTAACTTATTTTGACCCTAAGGTTTAAGAAACTCTGGTCTTTTGGCCTTTTCTAGAGCATTTTAGTTGCAATGAATGAAAATAATAAAAGACAGGTGTGAGACATCTCTGATGAAGATATTAAAAAAGCCCCTGGATTATATGGACAGTACTGAAATGAAGGATGATATTCTGTGACGGATAATCAACAAAGAGTGACACACCAATGAGAGATCTGCTTTCAGCCAGGGATCGTAGTAATCAAACTGTCATCCTTCAGGCAGCAAACAAAAGAAGTTTGCCAGTGAGATAACATATAAAAGACCCCCTGGGAACATAACCATGCATTATATTGGCATCTGCACACAACACTGCACATATTTGTATTAACCCCAAAGTATCTGCAAACACTGTCATTTAAACTTAT